AACGGAATAAGGAAGTCATTGAATCCTGAAAGACTTGTCAACAATTCATTCCCGTTATATATTTTTTCCGTATTCTCGGGAAAACAGGATAATCTAGCGTGGGTAAAAAAGTATATGCACTCTTGACACGAACAAAAATAGTTACAATAATAAATTATCTCTTTTTGGGACCTCTCAAATATACTAAAAACAAGTGATAGGAAATTTTACAGAGTATCAGAATTCTGGTTCAATTAGAGTGCAAATAAATTCAAAACACAAATCAAATTGAAATTTTCTGGACTCCTGGAATTGTGTTTTATTGGATGGAACAGACTTTGTGAAGTACAATATAGGGTCCAGGGATTCATCTGAATCTTGAATCAAGAATATATAGAGCCACCGACTCTCATAGCTATGGTTAAGATGCATTTCTAAAGAGCCGAAACTCTCCAAGAGTACAACCGGAACTTTCAGACGTGCTATCTCCAAAGTTTGCCATTGTCCAGAGACGAGGAAATTACGCACAAAAGGATGCGGGTTGCTTTCCAGACACTTCTCCGTATTTTCCGAAAGAACGTGTTCCGAAAAACGAGAAATAAATGAAAATAAATAAAAACACAGACACACAAATATTTGGAGGCATCGGGTTGTTTTTTGAAATCTTCCACCTCCGCGTTTGGAATTTAATCCAAATTCTATAAATAAAACAAACAGTAAAACTCAAGTTAGAAATATTTTCAGCTCATAGTTGTGTTTTATACTGACTAGAGACTGACTAGACGAGTTTCTGAGGAAACGGAAGAATAAAGGCTAGACTGGAGGAATGTAGTAAAAAACATCTAATTGGTATTCACGATGGTTTGTTTCAAGAAAATACGACATTATTTGGAATAGGAGAACTCCTGGGTGGCATCAGAATACATGAGATACAATGTAGAAGATTCTAAAGATAACAAGCTACTGTACTGAACTCTGCTTTGATTTAGAGTCCCTGAGGTGGACACAGACAACAATAAAAATTCAGACATTCCTATCTACGATTCCGTCAGACGATTCTATAACCGTCGCCAATCAAAATATGGTAATCGTCCTATTCTCATTATTTTGTCTGGAACAGAGACGTTCTGTGAGACTGCTTTGTTATTCTAGAATGAGGCCAATTGGTTTGAATAAAAGGGTTCAATGTGTGGCAGACAAAAAAGTATGAGCAATATGGGAACGAGTAACGATAAAAAAGAGAATTGGTTGTACCCGGTGGACACAAATGATTTACATAATCAAACTATGACATGTTGAAGGGAATACAGACCACGGAAAGTCCTAAATGTGTTCAAATTCAAAAGAGGAAAATCAGATACGGTTCGTATATAAAACAACATACTTGAAAAAACAGTGCCCAGCCTGAGAATCTTGCCGGACCAGGTTGTTTATCGAAATTGAAAAAATTAGAAATTTCAGAAACTTTTTTGGGAAAAATTTTTTAATGATCGTTTTTTGTGAGCAGGAAATTTGACAGGAAATCGACCTAAAAATTTTGTGAAGAGACAGGAAAAAAATTATTGAATACCCGGTTTTTGAAAATTCGGAAAACGCCCGTCCCGTTCTGTTGCAAGTATGGAAAAGACTTTATATATCTGGGAACTCTCAGAAGGTTGTAAAAGTGTTCTAAAAGCGGCAACTCGTTTTTTTTTTTGGAAAACCCGTAGCTGCAAAGAAAAAAAGAACCGGCCTGTGGGAAAAAAGTTTCATAAAACCAGAAAATCAGAATTCTACGCCTCCTGGTTGATCATACGTGTGCTCAACGTCATCTGATTTTAAGAACATATTCAAGTTTCGAAACGATGAAGATGTGAATGATATAAAATACAGTCCTACTTTCAAAAATGTGATGTCAGGCTAGAACCAAGTCAAGGACCACGGGTTTTATGATCATCAAAGATTCGAATCATTATGAATTTCAGAGAAAACTAGTCATTGGAACAAAAAGGTCAAGGAAAAAACCGTATCACATTTTAACAGAACATACACCAAAAACACTTTTTTTTTCGATTGTACTGATCCAGTAAAAGTGGTCGCTGTGGTCTTATTTTGATGAAAATTTTGAATTATATTTTCATGTAATTTAAAATGAGTCAGTATGTATAGCTGAGCAACCATCCTCCAAAGCTGAAATTCTACGTACAACGACGCTGACAAGCTATTCGTAAAACCATCAAATAATGGAACGCTAGCGTAAATTTACTACAAATGAAATCCTACGTTATCTCCCGTCCGACACTTCAAAACGAGACATTTTAAAGGAACATGTGGTTATTGACAACAAAAATGGCTTCTTCATTGTTGATCTATTTTGTGGTGTCTTTGATCAAAGATAAAATATTTTCACTTTCTTAATGACTAATCTAAATTCTTGCATAATCCTATTACGTACTTGTTTTTTTTTTTTGAAAAGGTCCAAGAGTTACAACAGATTTTTTTAGATCTTATGTCTCATTTTGTTCTTGACCCATTTTCAGTACTTGTGAGAACAATATTTCAAAATAAAAAAAAACTGCACCCGGAAACAATGATTCAAAAGTTGTGAGAGTAATATCTATCTATCTTTTTCACATAAATTGAAAAACGCCAACTGACGGAAATGATGTGCAAAGGTGCAAGATACGTTTATGTGGCTCTGTTCAAAGATCTCATTTTTTGTTTTTTTTTTATTTGAAAAAAAACCTGAATTCTAGATGCGGAAGAAAATTTTCGAAAAAAGACAAAAGAAAAAAGAAGATGGCTATAATGAAATTTGCAAGACAATAGTTCTTTAGAATCTGTCTGCTGGAAAAAAATAACATAAAAAGTCGAATTGCACTATTAAAGGTGGAAGGATATTTAAAAAATCTCGAAATTTTGTTCATATAAGCCTCTCGAGGAGTTGAACTTGTGGGACGAGAATTGAAGGCGCAGCGGCCCTACCGACTGAGCCACGCGGGCGAAGCAGGTGAGGCTGGCTGATGAAATAAATAAGCGGGGACGATAGCTGTAATCAGAGGGAACTCTAATCACTGTACACCGTTACGTCAGAATGCGTACACTAACTCCAAGAAAACAACAATAAATCTAATGCCCTCCCTTTGAATAAAGGTATTTTCTGAAAAGTGAAGCATTGATCAAGAACCATTCATTATGCAGAATATTGGTTTGCACCTGTATTATGTATTACAAATGACAAGTTGAACGAACAAAACAGAATGTGATTTGCAGAAATTCAATATAAAGATTCAAAGTACTTGATTCTTTTATAAGTCTCATGTGCCATATGTTCTAGATGATCGATCGATTTTGTGGAGATTTGATTGAAGATGATATGGAAATAGATCGGGCGGAAGTAGACGAAGATCATTGAATCAAAACACAAAAAGAGGAAGATTTCTGATTTAATAATGTGCCAACAGAGATCATACATGACCTAATTCAAAAGCAAATAGAGGGACCAGAAGATGGACAGCAATATAACCAAAAACAAAAAGGGACCCAGGGGTACGGTCTGAGTTCTAGAATTGTTGAACTTTTTGTGTTCAGTGTTTGGAACTGTATACCGGAGGGAGCTATTCTAACAGTACATCTCAATTATGAACAGAAAGCAAAGATCTTACCGTATTTCCTCTAATACTTTCCTCTCAGATTTGAGCTCGCTTATCTCGATTCCTGTTGAAAATATCAAAAATTGATAAACTGATAAATTATTATCACAATATCACCAATATTTTATTGGTTGACAATATTACGATATATTTCACAGAAATCGAGATAATCGAGCTCAAAGCTGACGATGTGGGTGGGCTTCTATTAGACTATGCTAGTTCTTTTCAAAATATCGGCTCTGAAATTTCGAATTCCATTACACGAACTATTTCTGATTCTCAAATTACTCATCTTCCGGAAAACTTTGGTTTGCAGAAATTTTCATCATTCATTCATTTTCTTTTCAAAAATAGAAAAGAAGATTACTCTTATTAAAATTATGAGCTCACCGGATTTCAGTCATCCTAGTGTAAAAGCTTCTTTTGTAAGTAGCAAGTAATGAAGGTTATGGTAAGATATGAGACCAGAGATATGTTTTTTTTTCAGAATTGGCATCTTGCAGTAAACTAGCACTATTCAATAGGATTTTTTCTCAATAGAACGTAATTCTAGTGCTGAGAACACACTTTAAGTAATGGAAGGATAAAATTCAGAGATCTTACTTTTAGGAATATTCCAGATTTAAAAAAAATACGCTTGTGAGGTTCAGTGATGATTCTAAAAAAATTAAATAGAAGATTAACTTGAGTATTTTATTTATTAGAAAATCCATTAACAATTTGCTAATACCCAATTCTGTGCAATGCTCTTGCAATCCTATTTTTTATAGAAAATCTTCCAGACTTTTGGTTGAACTTTTGATTTGAAAAAAAAGAAGAAGATTGGCCCTTTTTTTCTCTGTTGTGTTTATGTTTCGGCACGTTCAAGATTATCGAACCGAATCAAAAATAGGTCATTAGTTGATAAGCTGCACGTTTTCAAGTTTTCAGCTGGTCGACTAAAATATGGTTTTTGTGACAAAATGTAAAGTATGACTTTATATTTAGCCTTTCGAGTTCCCGGAAATCAAAAGATTGTTCATAAACATCTGTATATCCGATTTCTCATAACCGCGAACTCATATGTTTTGAATCTGAGCAATATCTGAAAAGTGGAAAAGTGACGAATAAGTAAAAAAAGTATGTCAGTTTATTTACACATCTATTCGATTTCTATACAACAATGACAATCAGTATCTCTTTTTACAAGTTTTCACTGAACGGAAGGATACCTAGAATGGGTATGCTTTTTTTAGTTCCGAATGGAAAAGGGACGTGGATATGTGATGAATCGGAATGTATAGTAAACATACTCAAAATGATAAGAAAAGAGAGATCAATCAACGGGGATGGAAATGGAAGAACCCGGAGGGACTACCCAAAAAAATTATCAACAAGTAGGTATGTAGATTATCTGGTTTGACATTCTAACAATGGAATCGAACTGCTGTAGGGGTCGTTGAAGTTGAGAGAATCTGGACGATGGAGTGTGGGGCCCTGGAAAATGATTGATGTTGTTTACTGCATTTATTCATTCAGATACCGTATTTTGTACTGCCAATCTGTTTAGATCGATTAGAGAAGTCGGGGGAGTCTGTTCAATAACTGTGTTACTATCCGGAATCAATTGTTCCGATTCATCAATGCTTTGAGGGGACAAATACTGTGGTTGAGGGACGGATGTCATTCCAGTTTCATATTCAGCTCTTGCAAGATCTTTACGGAGACTATCCACGACGCATGATGTCATGTCTGATGTGTATGGTTTCTCTCTTTGCAGCATCATTTCATGTACTGAAAATTGAAATTTTGAATTTTGATCTCAATTGAACGAAAAGTTCTTACATTCCATTCGATCTTGCATTTCTTGCTGAGAAGTTGAAATTTTCACTGTTGACGCATCAGTAAATGTACTGTTCAGAGAGATATCAGTGATTGCTGTCATCGGAGTCTCCACGGAAACTGGAGTAGATTGAGAGTGAGCGAAACTTGCTCGAACTGCTGGATGAATTGGGAAAGGCATTCCAGCGGAGGATGAATCATCGAGTATCTCTCTGAGGCATTCCACAACTTGCTTGAACGATGGTCTCTCATCAGGAGGGGTTCTCCAACAGGCTCGCATCATCCGGTATACTTTAGTTGGTATTCCATACGGGTATTCCAGACGAGCACCTTCCGTCAACATCAACATCACTTCCTCATTTCTTCTATTTGGATATGGTACAACGCCGAGAGAGAAAACTTCCCAACACAGAATCCCAAAACTCCAAACATCAGATTGTGTTGTGAAGACACCATCGATAAATGATTCTGGAGGAGTCCATTTGATGGGTAACACTGCACGCCCATGAACACGATAGTATAGGTTACTGAAATTTAGCTAGAATGAAACTGACGACTTGGTTCGTTTACTAACTCGTTTTTTATTTCCTTGGCCATTCCAAAGTCTGCAATTTTGGCAACTCTTCCAGGACCTCTCGTTGTTAACAGAATGTTTCTAGCAGCGATATCTCTATGAACATATTTGAATCCTTCCAGACATTCACACCCAGCTGCCACGTCACGACAGACTGCCACCAGATCAGCCATTCTTAAATGCAATGGATTCAAAGATTGGTGCTGAAAATAATCATGTGACGTCAATTTAGCACTTGCATGTCCAGCTTACATTTGGACGCGAATCTTTCACAAATGACAGCAAATCTCCTCCTTCCATAAACTCAATCGCCAGCATAAACGGAACAGTCTCGAAATCGATTCCAATTAGACTGACTATATTTTCATGTGTGAAAGTTCTGGAATTTTAAATTTTGTTTCATTTTACTTCTGTAACAACGATATCTTACCCCATGCAAAGCGCTTCATTACAGAAATCTGCTTGTGCAGCTTGGCTGGTTTTAAAAGCCGTCGAAATCTTCTTGACGGCCACCCTGATTCCATCAATTTCTGCATAACAAACTTCTCCAAAGTGTCCTTTTCCAAGAATTATTCCTAATGCAATTTCATCTCTCGAAATGTTCGGCAACCCTCGCACAGCTTCTTCTCTTTTCTCACCACAGAAAACGAGATCCGTATAGTTAAAGCCAGCTTGATAAAGATCCTGAAAGTATCAATGTTTATCAGAAGACGTTCCAGAAGCTCACCGCCTGAGCCTTGTTAATCTCCTTTAGTTCCACTAGCTTCTCTGACATCTTTTTTTGCTTCTTCTGATAATAAAAAACGATACCAGTGGAAACAATAATCATGAAAATTAAAAACATCAGGAATACGTAATTGTACCATGTCCAGGGTGGAGATTCTTCTATAAAAAATTCCCATAGCAACTATGAATGAAATTTTCAGACATACCACAAAACTCAATTGAAAAATCATCAAGGAACTTTCCATTGTTACATTGACAAAACGGCTCAAAAGTGAAGTTTCGATATTGACAAGTGGATGAAGCAGGACAATCCAAGGGACATGCTGTAACAAGAAATGAAATGGGAATGCCTAGAAACATTATCATACCACAAGCATCCGGAGTATCTGTGAAATTAGATCCATCTGGACAAGCACAGTATTCTTCAACATAATAATTTTTGCGGAATCGGCATATTGATGGCTTGGCGCACTGCTTCCGACAAAATTCTGAAATTATATTGTTTGCTTGAAAAAAGGGCAGTACTGACTGATTTTGATATATCCCTCTTCAACTTTGTTCGATTGGAAATACAAAACATTCTTGGAGAAGTTATCGGTTACATTGCTAGTTCCACTTCGTTCTCTTCCTTTTCCAAATGGATTTCCAGCTTTGTATCCAGCACCACCGCCACCCAAAATACCACACGAAATTCCTCCGCCTCCGAAACCACCATAAACCGTAGAATAATCCTTTTCCCCATTTATGTCAATCGGACAACGATTCCGAGTTTCCGCCAGGAAGTCAGTTTGGGTCACTGATACACATGTCACATTACACTTTTCATCAAAATCTACTGGAATTACAGACGCTCCGTAACCAGCATTATCAATTTCTTCCTCGTGTTCATCAATCCAAGATGCTCCAGCTCCTCCACCAATAACCACATTCCATTGATCTGATTCAACTTTAATTAGAGTTGCTCCACCTCCACCTGCTCCTCCATCATTATCTCGTCTCGCGATTTCAGAGTTTTTAGAGCAAGAAGTGGAATGGAATTCATCTTCGTGTTCAATCAAGCATGCACTCTCTCCTACTTGACCGACTATCATTCGAAGAGCAATGTTCTCCATCAGATGTACCTGTGATACGTGACATTCAGAAGAAACATATCTATTTTAGTATCTTACCTGAAGAGTGATGCAATCTCCTGGTTCACCATTGGTCGCAGAAGTGGAACCTCCACCAGCACCACATGCATCGATGCGGTAGAATCCTTCAACAGGAACTGTCCATTCTTGACTACCATCTTCTTTCAAAAAATGTCCCGTCTGCCCATCTAGTTCTCTTTCCTTTTTACATAATTCTGTATCTGGTTGTTTAGATCCGGAAGTACCACAAGTAGAAATAGTCAAATCAGGAATTTCCCACGTGGATTCGTTTATAGCTGAAAACACAGTTCTCATGAGCAGACCACCTACACCAAACTTACATTTTTCGAAGCAAGATGGACTAAAAGACAAATCATCAATTGCAAAAACGTCTTCCATGTGAAGGTTGTCAACGAAAATTCCCAAACGAAATCCGGCATTCTGTCTAGGAACAGTGAGGAGAACGCGCTCCCACTTACAAATTGGTCTGCAAATTTCACCGTTATATTAAACTTGTCTGTAATCCGTCACTCACTGATTGCTGTCCATGGTCGCTACAGTATTTGGATCATATTTGCCTTCGTATAATACAGTTCTACCACTGTCGAATGGATTTCCAGATTTGGAGATGATTGCGATTTCCCAGGTTTTTGGATACGCACGACTACAAACGTAAAAGCGGAGCTGAAAGTTACATTTAATGCTTTGAGGCTAATCCGAGTCGATTTCTTACTGTGCACGTTTCAAACATCGGACTATTATGATCATATGCAGCCGGATTAGTTCTGGGAAAAGCCGGAGATTGTAGCACTGAACGTCTTCTAGAGAGGTCTTGAACTTCTAGATAATCGTAAACAAGCATTTGACCAGATCCCTTCCTTGCCTCTTTAATTCTTGTGGAAGGTGCTCTCTTTTTGAGAAGGATACTTGGTTTTTCCTCTATTTTATTGCTCGGAGCAACTGTTGTCGGCTCGAATAGTTTTTGCGTAGGGCCAATGATCCTTGTTGTCTGAAGCCATCCATCACAGAAACCATCAGGGCTTTCGAAGTTGCACATGGTTCCAACCACGGAGCCTAAAAATAGTCACGTTTGAGTTTTTCCAGTTAACTGCCAAACTAACCGCAATTCATTTCATCCGATCCATCGCTACAATCTCTTTTCAAGTCACATTGTGCATCTTTCAAACATTTTGTGTTTCTATTCGTCGTACATAAAAACTGATCGCCACGAGAGCATTGTTCCTTGGGGTTCCTGATGTCTGCAAAGTAACTTTTGTATGGAGCAAGTAGAAAGGAATAGGGGCGCCCGGATTTTAGTCGATCACAATTCAATGATTGGATACTTTTGCTTACCTGCACAATCTTCAAATGCAATTTCGGCAAGACCACATGCGAAAACTTTCTCTGTGTAGTTCTTCTTTTTTCTCGATCCTGTTTCACAGTCGATTGTTATCTTGAACGGCTCGGAGTAAGATCCGATTGCTACAAATGCATTTTCCCACCTGAAAAATGATGAATGACGATTGAACTCAAGCTACCGTATCCTATAATTTTTTTCTAGGTGTATTCTTCTGGTATTGTCTTGTTTTAGAACTTCCACTTACGCTATTTTTTCTCGTTTTTCCGTATATTCATACAACGTTTTCGATGACTTTGTGGTATTTTTCATAAGAGCCTTCACAACAAGCCGAGAGGACGTGGATTGATGGGTGAAGTGATGCTTGAAATTCAGAGAGCACTGGAATCAGCTGCTGATTATCACACGTTTACCTAATCTCCTAATCTCTACTTACATTAAAACCACTCTGGCGGAAGAATTTGCTGCTGTATAACGAAACTGTTTTTCGGTGTAGGACAGCATGTTCGTCGCCAGCTTGAATGAATTGTTCTGAAATGGAAAGAGAAATTATTAACGGAAATTTCAGAAATTCTCACCAAACGTTGGCTGTGGATTCTTCTCTTTTTTCATTGGCCATGTTTTGAACACCAATGCATCGTGATCACTTTTTTGGGTCCAGTGGGGACAGGAACCTTGAAAGTCGCACTGCATTTCTGAAACGTTGATAATTGACTTTTTTGATATTTACAATAAAATAAAATTACCTCGAGGTTCACAAAAACATCCTGGATAGAGAATCATTGAATCTGTTGAGTTGGAGTCTCTATCACAGGAATCTACGTAGCATTCACATTCATCTTCGAACTTGTACGTTTTGAAGGTTGGGTTATTTGGAAAATCACAAAATTTTTCTCCTTCTTTACAAGAATACACTTCGACGTCTGAACTGATAACTATCAGAATCCAATAAAAACATGCAACGCCTTACCACTGAGCAATGAACAGTTAGAAGATATAGTGGAGAATTTATTGACAGCTTCTTCTTTCTAAACCAAAGAGTTCGTAGAAACGCCACTTTATTTTAATCTTACCGTTTCCGCAGCTATAAAATATGTTCTCTTCTTCGGGTCATCCAATAGTTGAACGTCTAATCGTGCCTCATAGTACCTTGCGAGATTGAAAGTCTCGTTAGGAGGAATAGAAGTGACCAATGATATCCGGAAGAGTATGAGGAACTCTTTCCACAGCACTCGCTTCCGCATCGTACCGCCCGTGTGTTTAACAGAAGATTGGAAGCATCTGCAAAATATGACAAAATAGGAAGATAGGGAATAGAGCAGGCAAAAAGGGAAGAAAATGAAGAAGACGGGAAATGAGGAATAAGAGATATGGGGAGATAGTATGAATGAAGATTAGTGGAGCAAGAGATGAGAAGAGGATTATTGGGAGAAGAAGATCGGAATAGGGAAGAGAACGGCACGAGAAAATTATGAAGAACACTGAATGGGGGGAAAATAAGAAGAGATAGGGAAGAGCTATGAATCCAGCATGTGATTGGTGATGACAAGCAGGATGTTGGTGGGAAAAATATAGAGGAAACGAGAATGAACATGAATAGGAAAGTGTGGGATTGGAAAAATGTGGAGAGGAAACTGGATTTAGTCTGGATTTATCTGGATTTAAACTGTTGGCAAAAGCTTTTAATAACGTTTTGATACTTTGCAATCATTTACAAATACTATTGTAGACCAGTGTTGAGCTGAAAATACCACAAGACTGTAGCGGAACAAGAGAATCTGCGGAAAGCGAAAGACGGAAAATCGAATAATATAGACATTCAGCAGTCAGGGCTGATGGATCCAAGTTCTTGCAACGGGTTTACAGTTTGCCGGATCCGCTATACAATTTTCGTAAAAGTTCAATAAAAGTTCTACTGACGCTACAAACACTCGGGTATTTCGATATTCTTGGTTTTTCCGGCACTTGAAAAAGGATCACGGAATCATACTTGCAAAATCAGGGCCCGGCCCGCGGGCCTGGCCGGGC